AAAGCTTCCCCATAGCCCTTCTAGTAGATTCCACCAATGAAGGATAACCATCATCCTGACTTCTAACGCCATAGTTTTTCCTGTTCTTGAACTTTCTGTAAGTGGACTTACATAGTTACTTTATTGTTTGCCTTTGGCATCTTTTGTTCTGCATCTGTGAGATACAACAGTTTTGTTGTTTATGGTGGTAACTCATTCATTCTTCTTGCTGTATAGTGGGGATTGACAAACATTTTCTGTAAAGGGTCACGTAAGTAAATACTTTAGCATTTGTGGGCCATTTGATCTCTGTTGCAACTGTTCAGCTCTGCCCTTGGAGCAGCCAACAGCTATTGACAATACGTAAATGAATCATTATGGCTGTGTTCCAATAAAACTTTATTCACAACAACAAGCAGTGGGCCAGAGTTGGTCCATCGGCTGTAGTGTGCCAGCCCCTGCTTCACGGTGTTCCTTTGAGCACAAGATTGTCAGCAAGCATCTGAACATATTCTGCTACCCCCAGCCAGGTTTTCTACCCTGTTAGCATGGTATTAGATTAGTTTGCCTCTTTCCTAGACTTAGGAGCTCAGAACTGAGTCTTCTTTCGAGAAAGATGTAGGCTGACTCTAAGGTCCCCAATAACTTGTAGATTCTAAACCTCCATGGCCCCTCGGTGTTGAGGTCTATGCCTTATCTTCTCTTCTGTCCTCATCCAGCCATACTGAAGGTGGTGTCGTCCGTCCTGCAGCTTGGAAATATTGTCTTCAAGAAGGAAAGAAACACAGACCAAGCATCAATGCCGGATAACACAGGTGCTTGCTGCCTTGTCCCAATAACTGACAATGTCTGTGGTGGGAAGGAGTGTTTGGTTGTTTTTTGGATACGGTTATTAACAAGAACTAAACTAAGTTATTTTCGCTGACTTCTGTCCGAGACTTTTTACTGCTGAAGATCCTACAGTGGGAAGTTCTTGAATCAGAGTGTGGGCAAGGAAAGCTAATAGTTTTAGATCACACAGGATCCTTAGGGACCATCAGTTCTATAACCCCCTGTTTGTTAATTTTGTTAAGCAAATATTTTTGGGCCTGCACCATAGCCAGGCCCTGGGATTCATCGGCAAACTAGACAGGAACAGCCCCATTCCTCACGTGGGGGACACAGACCCCAAGTTTCTCCGCAGTTAGAGTTGCCAGATAAAATAGAAGATACCCAGTTAAATTCAAGTTTCAGATGCTCAGCCAACATTTTTTATTATAAACTGTATCACTCTATAATATATTGTATGTTCCATGCAGTGTTTGGGACCTAACTATAATTTTTAAATGTTGGTTGTTTCTCTGAAATAAAGGCTTAACTAGGCATCCTGGTTTGTTTGTTTTTTTCTCAATATGCCAGCCCTACCTGCTAATACCTGCACTGTTTTGTGTTATGGAAAGGTTGCTTGGTTATCTATCCCCCGTGCTTGTTGGTGGCTGAGCCAAATGGATAGCAAGTTCCTGGCTTGTCTACCTGTTGCCTGAACATGCCCCACACAGACTATATACTGCGCTGTTTTTGAAGCTCCCCGGAGCTTACCCTCCACAGGCCCTGCCAGTGGTTTCTGGTGTCGCACACTCCGAAATATGGCGAGTTAAAGGTCTCCTCCCACCCAGGAGACAACTTCAGGGAAAGACAAACCAAAAAAAAAAAAACTAAACAAACAAAACCAAAAAAAAAAACTAAACAAAAAACAAAAACACACCCCTTGCAAAGACAGGGAAGAAAATCCTAAAACCACACCGCGGATCGTCCACCACGCATAGGCAAGCCATCAGACAAGAGTAGCCTTCGTGTTGAGCAAACAGTAATGGTGGATGATGATTTTCTTTTGAGGACGAGTTTTAAGAGAAGAAATACATGAATATTAAAAGAATCCACCATCCAGAAGTGGCATTTGTGAATATGTTCTAATGCTGCCTGGTCGTTAACATGAAACAATGTAACCCACGTTGACGTCCCAGTCACCTCCTTGTCTCCCGGCAACCACAGCTGTATGTTACTATGTCCCCTTCCAGTTGTATTTTAGGCTTTTCACACACATGTATCTAAACCATATATAGTGTTGCTTTGTGAGTGTGATTTTAATGTACATAAGTGATTTCACCTGGGAGTCAGCATTCTGCAACTTGTTTTTCTCTCTGCTCACCCTTGTCTGGATCAGGGTTTTTCAACAGTAGCGCCCCCTGGTGTGACAATCAAAAATATCTCCAGACATTGCCCGATGTCCCCTGGGGGCAAAATTATCCCCAGTTGAGAAAGAGAGTGGTTCCTTCTAACTGCTGTTTGGTATTCATGGTACATTTGTTCGCTCCCGTATTAATGGACATTTAAGTAGTTTCCGGTAGTTTCCACCACACATAATGATGCAATGCATATCTTGGCATAGTGGGACACATTTATTGGTAGTTGACCATGTGCCAGGCACTTTACCTGCCTTCCCTCGTTTCATCTCATTGACAACCCAACAAGGTACCAAATGGTTGTGTCTTTATGAACTGAGAAAAGCAAGACTCTAGGAAGTTAAATAGCTTTTCCCAAAGCACATGGCCCCATCCCACCCCATCATTGCCACTTAGCAAAACATTGGGGATGAGGTCACCAATGACAGCAGTTTTCAGGACCCTTTCATGCTATGTTCACTACGTCATGCTCCATTTCTCAAAAAGTACCAATTGCATACACAGATCACAAGTATCCCAGGTGATGTGCCTTCGTTCCTAAGCCTTCTCTTTGGTGATACACTTAATATGCTTTTTTTTCTCCATCCAGCTGCTCAGAAAGTTTGCCACCTCATGGGAATTAATGTGACAGATTTCACCAGATCTATCCTGACCCCACGTATCAAGGTTGGGCGGGATGTAGTACAGAAAGCTCAAACAAAAGAGCAGGTAATGATGCATTTGCTGTTTGTTTTTGTGTGTGACATTTATTCCTGAGCTTGCATATTTTTCTGCAGACTCTTCCATCCATCTGTTCATCCATCTATTCTTTCACCCATCCATGCTTCCTTACTTCCATCTCTCCATCCATCCATCTATCCATTTATCCATCCATTTATCCATCCATTCACCCATCCATGCATCCATCTGTTCATCCATCCAGCCATCCATCCAGCCATCCATTTATCTATCCATTTACCCACCATCCATGCCTCCTTCCTTCCATCTCTCCATCCATCCATACATCAATCCATCCATCCATCCATCCATCCATCCATCCATCCATTTATCCATCCATTCATCCATTCATCCATCCATTCATCCATTCACCCATCCATGCATCCGTCTGTTCATCTATACATCCTTCCATCCACCCATCCATTTATCTGTTCAACTATCTATCCATCTGTTCATCCATCTATTCATTCACCCATCCATGCTTCCTTCCTTCCATCTCTCCATCCATCCATCCATCCATCCACCTACCCACCCACCCATCCATCCATCCATCCATTTATTCGTTCAACTATCCATCCCTCCATCCCTCCATCCCTCCATTTATCCATCCATTTACCCATCCATGCATCCATCTGTTCATCCATCCATCCATCCATCCATCCATCCCTCCATTTATCCATCCATTCACCCATCCATGCATCCATCTGTTCATCCATCCATCCATCTATCTTTTTATCCATCTGTCCATCTCTTTATATCTCATCCCTCCAATACTGGAATACTCAAAATCCCATGTCAGGTTTTGAAGATCCACTACTGAACAAGAACAGCAGAGTACCTCACTCATGATCTCATCCCGCTCTCTTAGTTGTGCATCCAAAGTCAGAGTTAAAGATACATTTTTAGAAATGACTGTATACCCTTTCTAGAGGCAGAACTGACTACCTCTAAATTGCCCCTGGGAAGGAACAGGCTCTCCCCTGTTCCAGGTTCCTCTGACAAGAAGTGTTTAATTCTCCACACAGTCATTCCTTAGGTCTGGCCACTGTCTTCCTTACTGCCCCTCCCCTTCTAGTTCCAGAGATGGCATAATTTCTTTTTTTGTTGTGGTTTATTTTTCAAGAACTGATTACGGGCAGAAGAGGAATAAAAATCTGAGCTGCCAGCCGGGCTCATATGAAAAGACAGCCCACTGGAGATGAACCTGTTCCCTCACTTCTCCCCACAGGCAGACTTTGCCGTAGAGGCTCTAGCCAAGGCCACCTACGAACGCCTTTTCCGCTGGATACTCAGCCGCGTGAACAAAGCCCTAGACAAGACCCACCGGCAAGGGGCTTCGTTCCTGGGGATCCTGGACATTGCTGGATTTGAGATCTTTGAGGTACAGCTTGGTGGGATCATGACAGCCGTGTTCTCGGCTCTTTGGGCGGAAGCTTCCCCTCGGAGAAGTCATTATTTTGGAGAAAGGCGGGCCGATGGCGACTTAGGGTGGGAGGCTGTCTAGCTGAGGTTAGATCCTCAAGGGTGTAGGACGCGTGTTGGTTTCTGGAAGTGGGATGGCCAGAGCTGTGGCTGGGTGCGACAGGCGAGGCTTGATCCCTGCCACCTCTCTCTTCAGTCCTCCGCCACGAACTCTAGGCAGCCTTCGCTGGGGACAAGCCCTCTCTGGGCCCTGAAATGGCAGACGGGCTCTTGTGGAAAGGACACAAGGGTGGCAGGCAAGGGGCTCTCGCCGGGCAGAGCTCCCCCGGCCCCTGTGTCCCCTGACCAGCACGCCCCTCCCCCACCCCTCTCGCGGGCGCAGGTGAACTCCTTCGAGCAGCTGTGCATCAACTACACCAACGAGAAGCTGCAGCAGCTCTTCAACCACACGATGTTCATCCTGGAGCAGGAGGAGTACCAGCCTTGAGAAGGCATCCAGTGGAGAACTTCATCGACCCCATTTTCGACCTGCAGCCCCTGCATGTGATGCGTAGAAGCGGCGGTGAACCATTATCTTCAGGCGGATCAATGGTTGTTACGATCAAAATTACGCGTGGATACCCTGTATTGGTACATCACTTTTGGGATCCTCTTGGATCGATGGGCTCCATCAATACGCCGGGTTGGTGGCTGGGTTTCAAACGTGCTGTTTACGTTTTCAATATCATCATCATCATCATTTTATTCCATCATCATTCACGTACCTGCATTTCACGTACGGCGTATTTAATATCATTCCTCATCACATTCGCGGCATCATCATCATTACATCATTACATCATCATCATCATTCATCATTATCATTTCATCACGCCATTTCTGCATTTCATCATCACATTACATTTTCCATTACATCATTGTCATTCATCATCATTACATTCTGGCCAGCATCATCATCCATTCACGTACCATCATCATTCATCATTACATGACATCATCATCACATCACATCATTCCATTCCTGCATTTCCTCATCACATCATTCATTCACATTCCTTCATCATTGTCATTCATCATCGTACCCACGTACCACATACATCATCATCATTCATCATTTCCATCACACTCATCATCATTTCATCATTGTCGACTTCATCCATCATTTACATTTTCCTCATCATCCTTCCTTCCTTGGCATCCCCTTCTCCTTCTCTTATCCTTCACACTACATACATAGCATCCTCCTCCTTCCTTTCTCCCCTCATCATCATTACTACACCAACCTCTCCTCCTCACTCCTTCCCTCCTTCCTCCTCCTCCCTCCTTCTCTTCCTCCCATTCTCCTTCCTCCTCCTTCCCTTATCCCTTCATGCTGCTCACCTCCTTCCTCCTTCCCCTGCCCTCTCTATCCTCAACTTCCTTCCCTCCCTCCACTCCTTCCTTCCTTCCTTCCCTCCACTCTCATCCTTCGGCTGCTCCTCCCTTGATCATCCTTCATTCTGTAGCTTTCCTCCCCTCTCCTATTCCTTCAGCAGTCTTCCCCTCTCTCTGATCGTTTCGTTTCCCCCCAGGGCAGTAGGTTGTTTTTTCTCCTTTGATGGATCTGACTCCTGGAACCATGTGCAGTGGGTTTGATGAGTCACTGTTCAGTTGATGACTGTTGCCAGACACCTGTTCTGTTGGCTAGGACCCTCTCTTCCAGGGACAGGATGTGACCATGAACAGGATGGACATGGTCCTGTATTCCTGGAGGAACGGACCAAGAGAAACAAGACACCAGACAAAGAAAGCCACTAAAACTTCTCTGATAAGACCTCTGTGGAGAATGATTTAAAGGAATGCCCCAGACAGAGCAGTGAAGAAATAGTTCTCAGGGTGCCTGGCTGGCTGGGTCGGTGGAGCATGTGACTCTTGATCTCGGGGGTCATGAGTTCCAAGCCCCACGTTAGTGTGAAACTTACACATTAAAAAGAAAGAAATACTTCTCTAGCAGTGAAGACCATTTCTAGCAAGTGAATGGCAGGTGTGGTGGCTGTGCTCTGGCCTGTCTGGGCCACAGAAGGAAGAACCCTGAGGTGAATTTATATACAGAAAGCATCAAATTCAAGCCTGAATCTTTGTGCTGTTCATGTGCCCACTAATCCACGAGGGGCAGAAATTGCACACATTCTGTTGACTTCTTACTTCTGTCTCAGTGTGGGTCCATCGACCACAGGGCCATCTGAGGATAGACTTGTAGGTGTGGGAGGCATAAATCCGACTTTGTAGGCAGATATGGTCTGAGGAGAGGTAGGGGCACACGCACTAGTTTAGTGACTGACTCTTTCTGGCAAGCCAGAGGAAGCTTGAGCACCCCTAGCTGTGATCCCACCCTCCGTTCTTTCCACAGAACAACCCTCGGGTGTGCTGGCCCTGCTGGGCGAGGAGTGCTGGTTCCCCAAAACCCCGAACAAGTCCTTCATTGGAGAAGCTGTACGCGGTGGGTAACCACCCCAAGTTTCAGAAGCCCAAGCAGCTCAAGAAGGACAAAACAGAGTTCTCATCATCCACTATGCCGGTACCAGCCATGGAGCCCCAGGGCTCTCCCTGTGTGAGGGACCAGGGGGGCATCAGAGTGGGGAGTAGTTAGAGAATGGCAGAGCCAAAAGGCATCTGGGGTGTGTAAATCAATCAGCCCGAGTCCTATGTATGATTTGTCTGAGTGTCTGTAAGAGGAGTATGTGTCCTAAGACATGGTGTATATCTATTCTAACCTCTGTGACCTATTCCAACCAAGGTAGCCAGGTAATTCTTTCTTAGACTCTGAATCCCTTCCTTCAACTTAAACCCAACCCAACAGGAAGGACCCAGCTGGGATGGGATGACCCCGTAAACACACCTTCACACCCTTCCAACAAAAGTCTCCCTTATCACAGCCTTGAGTTTCCTATCACATGCATGTGCTGTCCAGGGAAATAGATGATGGTTGTTTTCCTGCCCCTCCTCCCCCTGCTCCTCCTCTTCCTCCTCTTCTTCCTCCTCCTCCTCCTCCTTTTTCTTCTTCCCCTCCTTCTCCTTCTCCTCCTCCTTCTTCTCCTTCTCCTCCTTCTTCTTCTTCCTCCACTTCCCCTCTGCCTCTTTCTCCTCCTCTCCCTCCCTCCCTACTTCTCTCTTCCTCCTCCTTCTTCATAATGATGATCATCACCTGATAGCTGTAAATATATAGGACCTTCGCCCATGGCTCCTGAGGGTCCTGGATAGTGTAGAAAAGACACAGCTTAGTCTGGCTTGCAGAATCTGAGTATTTTATTCTCTCTCCCCTACCCGCCCCCCAACTGCCGCATACAAACAGGCAATGCCCTATACCAGGGGTTGGCAAACCACGGCCCATGTGCCAAATCTGGCCCACAGCCCGTTTTTGTAAATAAAGTCTTACTGGCACACAGCCACGTCCATTAATTTACATAATGTCTTTGATGGCTTGTGACAGTATGTGACAAAGAAGTTGTGGCCTACAAAACTGAAAACATTTACTATCTGGGCCTTGTACCAAAAACGCTTGCCAACTCCTACCTTATATTCAAGGGAGTGTACGTTCCCTTAAGCACCTAGAGTAACACTTTTCTTTTCCCTACTTTCCAAGTGATAGTTTTTAGTTCCCTCTCCCATCAGGCCTGGCTATCATCATCATAACCCACATCCCGTAATAACCCACCAGAGTTATTTTACAAGTTCTTTCCATTTCATAGTCACAATAATAGCATCAAGAGTTTGGCCACTGTCAGTGTTCAAGTTAGGAATTTAAAAAGCTCTATGTATCCTTTTTCTTTATATCCGTATATCAGAATCTCCAAGTTACCCAAACTACATTCATCACAGATGGGAAATGAGATCCTCAAACGTAATTTAATTGTTGCCCCGTCTTCTCCACATGAGAGAAGATCTTTGGGTGTGAGGGAGAGTGTTTGCCATCCCCCAAAGCCCTACACCTTTAGGAGGTCACAGCCGTCCTTCCGGGCTCTGGAGAAAGGAGGCTGCCAGAAACTTGCTAAGAGAAGGCAAGGATAGCTCGGCAATGGCTACTGTTGGCTGATGCCCCACCATGCACAGGGCCCTTGAACATACTGATCTATCGGTCTCTCCATTGGTGTTTGCGGATTCCCATCATGGCGGCTCTAATGCCATTTCCGCTCTGACCTGGGAGGATCCGGGAGGGAAACAGGAGGCCGTGGGCCCTGCCCTTAGTTTGTAACTGAAGCAGAAACACCTGACCAGTGGTGGGATCCTTGGCAGGTGGACTACAATGCCAGTGCCTGGCTGACCAAGAACATGGACCCGCTGAATGACAACGTGACTTCCCTCCTCAATGCCTCCTCGGACAAGTTTGTGGCCGACCTGTGGAAGGACGGTGAGGCCCTGCCTACTGGCGCTGGAGGACTGGATGCCAAGTCCTCTACCTCCTTGCAGTTATCCCTGGCCTGTTCCCACGCCTCCTCCCAGGATGGGTGGGCCTGTGTGGGGTGGGGAGAGGGCAGTGTGGGCGGGTGTCGGGGATGACTTGTTGACACATTGAGCCACTTCCTGAGTGGTGACCCCTGACCCCTCAATCCCACACCTGGACCCCAGGGGGAAGGTCTTAAATCAAGGCACAGGCTGTAATAGAGGAAACGGTAGTGCAGGGGTCATGGCGAGCTCCCATCTGGAGCCACAAAGACAGTCTTGTCTCTGCCCTGCACTAGCTGTGTGATCTTGGACAAGTCTCTTGACATCACTAAGCTTTAGCGTCCTCTTTAGTAAAACCGGGAAGATGACAATAGTTCCCAGCTCTCCTAGGATTATTGTGAGGGTAGAATTAGACCAGAGGCTCAAGCTTGAGCATGTATTAGGACCTCCAGGGTGACGTGTCAAAACTCAGACTGCTGGGCCGTACCCCGGGAGGTTCTGACTCAGCAAGTCTAGGTGGGGCCTGGGAATTTGCATTGCTAACACATTGCTAGGTTCTGCTGATGCTCTGGGCACCACACTTTGGTTGCCTCTGAGAACCGGTGAAGAGATAATCCATGTGAAGGGCTGAGCACCTGCCACACCCATAGGAAAGGCTTAGTACATGCCAGCTGCTGTGATGACTCTTAGGGGCAGTGGGCTTTTCTGCTTTTGTTCCTGGACCTTGGTGCCCACAGCAAATTCTGTCCTTGGCACAGAGCCTGTGGGTGTTGGGCTTATAGGACCAGCCACCCTTGATTTTGGTGTGGTAGAGAATTCTGCACATGGGGGTCTGCTGTGCCAAATGTCTCCTGAATGCTCACCATGTACCAGGCCCTGGGATGGGGTAATGGCATCTCCCCCTGGGATTCCTGACCAACCCAGCAAGGTCCTTCTCTCAAGGAGCCCAAAGTCTTGCAGGAGACAAGACTTGATTATATGGAGCCTGAGTACAAGGAACAGAAATGGGGCATCTTAATGCCAGTGGAGTTGAACTGAACCACCATCAACCAACTGAATATAACTGTCTTCTATAGACGGCTTCATCCAACAATGGACGAATACACATTCTTCTCAAGCTTACATGGATGGAATGGTCACCAAGATAGACCACATTCGGGGCCATAAAACACACCTTAATGAATCTGAAAGAATAGAAAGCATAAGGTGTCTGCTCTTAGACCACCATAGACTCAAACCAGAAATCAGTAAGAGAAGGGTAGCTGGAAAATCCCTGTATCCATGGAGATTAGACAAGACACTTCTAAGTAACAGGTGACTCAGAGAAGAAATTTCTTGTTGTGTGTTATTTATCAAGAGAGATTTAAAAATGCTTTGAACTAAATAAAAATGAAAACACAACTTAGCAAAATTCATGGGGTGCAGCAAGAGCAGCTCTTTAAGGGAAATTCATAGCAATGCCAGTGGTTTGAGCTTGGCATGCGCAGGACCCACTGGGCTGGTGAAGTCTCTCCTTCTGTTCTGAAAGAAAAAGAACCTTCTGGTGGTTGCAATAACACCACCACATATTCTTTGTTGAGCATTTGTAAATGTGCCAGATTCCTTCCTTGGAATACTTACTACATCTTCTGCCCAGAATATTATTTTTATGGATATTTACCGGATCACTCACTCACTTCTCTCAGGCCTTTGCTCAAATAACTTATCAGAGAGATCACGCCCACCACTCTCTTTCCCCCTTTATGCTGCTTTATCTTTCTAAGCATGCCTCACCACTTAGAATATTGCTTGTATACATAACATTTATCCTTCTCTTTCCATTAGAATATGTGTGGAGTATGGGCTGGGGTGTGTGTGTGTAGAGACACAGGGTCTTTGTTCATGGCTATATCCACGGGGCCTGGCACATAATAGGCTCTCAAAAAACATTTGTTGGTAGATGAAGGACTGAAGGCAGGCAGGAGGGGTAAATGCTCTCCATGCCTTATTCACTTACTCCTGCCCTGTAAAGTAGATGCTGTTACCACCCCCATTTTGTAGAAGGAGAAACTGAGGCACAAAATGGCACCAGGCCAAGGCCATGGCATGAGCAGGATTTATTCCCGGGTCTCTGTGACAACATCAGAGAGAATTTGGGCTTTCAGGGGCTTTCAGGATTTCCCAACTAGACAATACACAGAAAGCAATCCTCTGCACACCTCCCTTTACCTATTGCCAGAGGAAAGGTGTTGGCTAGCATAGGAAAGAAGGGGGTGGTGCTCCCCAGGAGGGAGCAGAGGACTTGGGGTCTCCACACTCTGGTCTTCTGGCCTGTTGTGGGGGGTTGAGGGCTCCTGGGTGGGCCAGAGGCTGACACCAACATTAATGTGCCCCACAGTGGACCGCATTGTGGGCCTGGACCAGATGGCCAAGATGACCGAGAGCTCACTGCCCAGCGCCTCCAAGACCAAGAAGGGCATGTTCCGCACGGTGGGGCAGCTGTACAAAGAGCAGCTGGGGAAGCTGATGACCACGTTGCGCAACACCACACCCAACTTTGTGCGCTGCATCATCCCCAACCACGAGAAGAGGGTGAGGCCCCCTGCCCGGCTCCTTGGGTGGTCAGAAGGTCCTCCCTGGGGCTAGCGTCCGGCAGCTTTGGGAAAGGGAGAAGCAGACCCGGGTAAAGGGGCAGGAAGAAAGCTTCCCTCCATACCCCAAGGGCTCCGTCTGACATGGGAGGCAGGTTGTCTGAATTTGGTACCCATTCCGCATCCTGGAGACAAAGGAAAGCAAGGGAACAGAAGGGGCTTTCAGCCCTGGAGTTGCTGGCCAGGGCATCGGGTCCCTCACGCGTTCGTTATTCCAGTCAATATTTACTGAGCTGCACCTGTGTCAGATGCTGGGGATACGGTGCTGGATGAACTGCAGTCCCTGCCTGCAGGTTCGCATCGTGATCTAGTGCAGGGGTGCTCGGCTGGGGCGGTCGTGTCCCCCAGGGGACGTTTGGCCATGTCTGAAGACACTGTTGGTTGTCATAACTGGGAGGGAGCTGCTGTTTGCATCCAGTGCATAGAAGCCAGGGAGGGATGCTGTTAAACACCCTGTGGTGCACCGGGCGGCCCTCACGGATGGAAAAGCAGAGAACAGTCCAGCCCCGGGTGCCAGTGGTGCTGATGTTATGGGAGATCCAGTGGGAGAGAGAGACAAATGAGCTGCTCTCACAGTGTAACATGGTAAATTATGAGAACAACGTGTAGCTGGGCTTCCACTCCAGCCTCAGGGCTCGGAGAAACCTGCCTCCGGAAGGAGGAGGGATCCCCTTGGTGAGGTGGGGCAGGCATCCTAGGTAGAGGGACCGGCAGAAGCAAAGATGTGAGTTGAGAAACGAAGGGTCTAGGTAGGGAAACACTAGGTAGGTCGTTGTTTCATGCGGACGTGTGATGGTGTGAGGCCGGGATTGGGGAGAGACAGGGCTGAATCACTTGGCAGGGGCTGGTCCTTGTGGGTTGCCCCGAGCTTGGCCTTCCTTCCAGAGGATGCCACCGGGGGCTTTTGAAAGCAGGGGTATGTCATGATCCGACTGACGTTAGAGAAGGGGTATGAGAGGTTGCAGGGGGGAGGCAAGACAACAGTGGGAAGCAGGCGGGGTGCTCTGGGGGTGAGCGGATGGCAGTGGAGAGAAGCGGGTCCGTCGGGAGTTCTTTGGGAGGTCGCTGCTGTAGAACTGAGGAAGGAGAGGTGACGAGGAGGAAGCCGCAGTGTCCAGCCACATGATGCTGGTGTCACCAAGAAGCAGAGAGACCTCTTGTGGGCCTGATGAGGTGGGACCCCAGGCCTGAGATTCGGGGCTCGCTGCTCCCGGAGTCCCGGCCCCAGGGGTCCACTGGCCTCCCTGTCCTCACAGTCGGGCAAGCTGGACGCCTTTCTGGTGCTGGAGCAGCTGCGGTGCAACGGGGTGTTGGAAGGCATCCGCATCTGCCGTCAGGGCTTCCCCAACAGGATCGTCTTCCAGGAGTTTCGCCAGCGGTGAGCCCGCCGGGCAGGCACGGGGTGGGGTGGGGGTGCAGGGGCCGTGTGAGCCAGGCCGGGGGGAGGGGAGGCGTTGGGTCAGTGACACCCGCCCTGTGTCTCCAGCTACGAGATCCTGGCTGCCAACGCCATTCCCAAAGGCTTCATGGACGGGAAGCAGGCCTGCATTCTCATGGTGAGCCCTGCCCCCAGCCCCTCCCCAGAAGTCCGACGGCAAACCTCCCGGCCCCTGGTGGCGTCGCCAGGAGCTCGTGGGGGGCGGGACCCTCCTTAACATGCCTCACGTAGGCCCCGTGTCCCAGCCGAGAATAGGAACACCTGTCCCCCTTTCTTCCTCCAGATCAAAGCCCTGGAACTCGACCCCAACTTGTACAGAATCGGGCAGAGCAAAATCTTCTTCCGAACGGGGGTCCTGGCCCATCTGGAAGAGGAACGAGACTTGAAGATCACCGACGTCATCATGGCTTTCCAGGCCATGTGTCGCGGCTACCTGGCCAGAAAGTAAGGACCCCCATGCCGTATCGCCTCCTGGCAAAGGCAAACAGCCCAGACGCGCACACTCCCAGAGGCTCTCGGGCCTCGTGTCCTGCTTCCCTGCTTCTACGAGACGGTGTAGTTTCGGAGGCATCCGTGACTGACTGGCTGCTTTTGGTGGCAGAGACAGAAATGGTGCGGCTTTAGAGACACGCACTAGTCACAAGGGCAGGCGGGGAAGGGGGTCAGATCGTGGCCTTGGAGTTTTAGACGTGGCTCCCCACTTACTTGCTGGTGAACCTTGGGCAAGTTCCTCTCTCTCTCTCTCTCTCTCTCTCTGAGGCTCAGGTCTCTCCACTGGAGAATGAGGATACTCCCATCTGCCCCATGGGGTTGTCAGTGAGGAGTCCATGAAGTGTGGCATGAAGAGAGCTGAGAGCAGGGCCTGGTTATCGTGTGAGAAGTGTGAGAATGTGGTAAAGAATCTGAGGAAAGAGTGTCGGGCTGCACCCGTAGCCCCGTGTCCGAAAGGGGTTCATAAGGCAGAGTCTTGGACGATTGTGAAGCCTGGGGTCTGCGTGAGGGCTGAGGTTCCTCAAGGAAACTCGCATCCCAAAGAGGACGACAACAGGGCTGGCAGACCGGCTCTCTATCCAGGGCGTGTGTTACCACGACGTACAGACCACGCTCTTATCGGCAGAGCCCTGATAGTGTTGGGCTGCTTCATTGCCAAGTGGATCCAAGACAGGCAAGGCCAGAAGTGGGGAGCTTGCAGTCCAGGGACAGACCTCTGTTGTTGAATTTCATAACTAAATTCTCTGATGCCGCTCCTCCCAGCCTCACTAAGTAGAGAGTTCACCCGTGTTTCAAGATGGCGGCCGAGCAGGGGAAAGAGGAGGGAGCTCTCTGTGCTGTGGTTTCGCAGACCCAGCAGCCCTTAAACAGGAAGAGCGCTGGTTCGGTGTCAGATTTGAGATTTCTAAAATGCACCCGAAGGAGAGAAGAGGTCTGTCAGACACTCAGCTTTGGGGAAGACACGGGACGGTTGGAGATGTGTAGGAATGGCCTTCCTTGGTGTAGTTTGGACCACCGTCCCGAGTCCAGGCTATTTTGTGAGCTGGGGTTTTCCTGGCCCATGAAGGAGCAAGGCTCTGGCCTCCAGATTAGTTAAATGGTCTGTGCCCAGACAACGTGCGTGTGCTGATGCTCGGAGCTTCCTGAAGAATCTGAGTGGGAGAGGGGCGCCTGGGCGGCTCAGTCGGTTGAGCATCCGACTTGGGCTCAGGTCATAACCTCACTGTTCGTGGGTTCAAGCCCCACATCAGGCTCTCTGCTATTAGTGCAGAGCCTACTTTGATCCTCTCTGCCCCTCTCTCTCTGCCCCTTGCCCACTCAGACTCTCTCAAAAATGAATAAACATATACATATATAAAGAATATATATATATCAAGAAACTGAGCTGGAGAGAATGGGGGGATGTCCCCACACGAGTCACAAAACCACATGCCCAGCAGATGCGTCTTGCTTTCAGGATGCTGCGGGACAGGACCCCGTGGACAACACGGGGAGGCGGGTGCCGGGCCCCCCAGGGCTCCTCACGACGTCCCCTTCCGTCTCCCCAGGGCCTTCGCCAAGCGGCAGCAACAGCTGACAGCCATGAAGGTGATTCAGAGGAACTGCGCGGCCTACCTCAAGCTGAGGAATTGGCAGTGGTGGAGGCTCTTCACCAAAGTGAGTGCTCCGCTCCCCGCCCCCCCCCGCCCCACTCTGGGGACGCTCAGCCTGGGCGGTCCCCTCCAGATGCTCCCGAAGCGGGGCTGTTGACCTTGAATGACCTTGGCTGTGATCCAGAGCATTTCCATCACCGCAGGGACCCCCTCGCGTGGCTCATTTATGGCCACACCCACTTGCCCGCCATTGTCCCGTCACCGCTCATCCGTTTTCCGTTACCGTGATGTGGCCATTTCTAGAACGTTACATAAATGGCGCCCTCCGGTATGTCATCGTGGGGACTGGCTTTTTCACAAAGCACCCTCCCCTGGAGATCCTTCCAGGTTGTTGGGGTATCCACTGTGTGCTCCTCTGGGGACAAAACTTGTTCTTGCCGGGTCACTAGCTGTCACGAATGGTTGTGCCAAGTGGTGACAGACAGTGTGTGACAGACACAGCCTCCTCTTACGTGCCCTTGAGTGAGAAAATTGGCACAAAGCTTTTTCGTCGAGCAATATTGATCGAGCTCCCGTTGTGTTCCAGGCATGTGCGAGGTGTTGGGGGTACCGCAGCGGGGAAGAGACATCATGGGCTCTGGTCTCATGAATGTTCTAGTTGAGTGGGCGAGCAGACAGGGAGCAGATAAACACGGAAATAAATACCTAAAGGTGAAGTGGGATAAGTGGAGGGAAGGAGCCAAAGTCTACACAACAGGGGATTCCCTGGGGCCAGTTGAGGGCTTGAACACAAGGAGTCAGGAGTCAGCCTAGGGAAGAACAGGAAGGGGAAGCTTCTTCTTGGAAAGGTTCATCTTCATTGACCTGACTTCTGAAACACTGTCCTAAGGAAGCCATCTGAAATAAAGAAAACCAGAAATTCAGGGTATTTGTTATGGCCTTGTTAAAATAGCAAAATGTCAGGGCACCCGGGTGGCGCTGTTGGTTAAGCGTCCTATTCTTGCTTTCAGCCCATGTCATAATCTCACAGTTTTGTGGGTTCGAGTCCCACATCAGGCTCTGTGCTGAGAGTGCAGGGCCTGCTTGGGATTCTCTCTCTCTCTCTCTCTGCCCCTCCCCCACTCATGCTGTCTCTGTCTCTCTCAAAATAAACAAATAAATTTTAAAAAGAAACTTTAAAATAGCAAAATGCCAGTGTCCAGCCCCAGCAGACTCATTAATTCAATAGAATATTTTTAACTCTTAAAAATGATGGCTGTCTAAAAACCCTCGACAAAGTAGGGTTGGAGGGAACATACCTCAATATAATGAAGGCCTTATATGAAAAACCCTCCGTGAACATCATACTTGATGGAGAAAACCTGAGAGCTTTCCCCTAAGGTCAGGAATGATACAAGGATGTCCTCTCTCACCACTTTTTTTTTTAATGTTTATTTTTGAGAGAGAGAGAGACAGAGCTCCCGTGGGGGAGGGGCAGAGAGAGAGGGAGACACAGAATCCCAAGCAGGCTCCAGGCTCTGAGCTATCAGCACAGAGCCCAATGCAGGGCTTAAACTCACCAACTGTGAGATCGTGACCTGAACCAAAGTCAGATACTCAACAGACTGAGCCACCCAGGCGCCCTCCCCTTTTTTTTTTTTTTTAATGTTTCTTTACGTATTTTTGAGGGAGAAAAAGAGAGTGCACATGAGCAAGGGAGCGGCAGAAAGGGAGGGAGACACAGAATCCCAAGTCGGCTCCACACTGTCAATGCAGAGCCCAACGTGGGGCTCGAAACCACAAACCGTGAGATCATGACCTTTGCCCATATCAAGAGTTGCACACTTAACTGACTAAGCTACCCAGGCGCCCCTCACCACTTGTGTTTGACAAAAATGACAGCTATCAGAAAAGAAAGTTGTCAAGATGATAGAAGGGCATGGGGTAATAGTAATAATAATAACCACCTTCCAGTTTAAGTTGGAAGCATACACTCTAAATTGGCAGCATGATCTTGGGTGTAATTGGTAAAAGGCTGGCGGGAAGTGCCGATAACGCTCGTAACGACCTTGATGGGGGGGTAGGAGGTGGGAGATTTTTTCTTTTTCTCGTTCTCGAAGGAAACATGTTTGTTTGTCCGCAGTAACGCTCTCTGGGCAGGGACTGCATGGGAGAAGGGGAGACTTTTTCCTTGACGCGCGGCGCCTTTTTCGGTTGCCCTAGTTGATGGTTTCCCAGCCTCGGCGCCGTGGGTGTCCGGGGATGGACCGTCTTGTGTTCTGGCGCCCCGTCGATGCGTCTAGGAAACATGCGGCTGTCCCCACCTCGCGCTAGGTGTCGCCGGGTCCGGAGTTCGGGGTCCCCGAAGTGTCGCCCGCCCCTGGTGGCGGAGCGCGATCTCGGTCGCGACGGGAGCCCGTCCCTCGTGTGCTGAGCGCAGCTCACGCGTGCCCGCGTGCGCGCAGGTGAAGCCGCTGCTGCAGGTGACGCGGCAGGAGGAGGAGATGCAGGCCAAGGAGGACGAGCTGCAGAAGACCAAGGAGCTGCAGAAGAAGGCGGAGAGCGAGCTCAAGGAGCTGGAGCAGAGGCACACGCAGGTAGCGGGCCGGGCGCGGCTGGGGCTGCGGGCGGCCGGCCGGGCACGCCCCCACGGGGCTCAGCCGCCGCCTGCCTTCTCCCCGCGGGCAGCTGGCCGAGGAGAAGAGCCTGCTCCAGGAGCAGCTGCAGGCCGAGACGGAGCTGTACGCCGAGGCCGAGGAGATGCGGGTGCGCCTGGCGGCTAAGAAGCAGGAGCTGGAGGAGATCCTGCACGAGATGGAGGCCCGCCTGGAGGAGGAGGAAGACCGGGGCCAACAGCTGCAGGCCGAGAAGAAGAAGATGGCCCAGCAGATGCTGGTAAGGCCCCGCGGGGGCCGCCCGCGGCAGGGGTGTCCGAATCGCTTGGCCCTCACCGCAGGGTCCCGCGGGTCCCCGTTGGCCGGGTGTGGGGACCGGGGGTTGGAGAGGAATGGCCGTCTGCCCCAGGCCACACGGCCAGGGTGGGGACTTGAAGGCAGGCCCCCCCACTCTCTTCCGCCCGGCACTCCGCCCATGAAAACCTTCTCAGGCACAACCCCACGTGAGGGGCAGGCGCATCAGTTAGCCATCGCTGCGGGAGGAAGCCCCCCAGAACTTAGCAGCCGTTGTGTCACAGGGTCAGGGGTCTACGAGCGGCCCGGCCGGGAGGTTCTGGCTCAGGGTCTGTCACGAGGCTGCACTTGGGACGGGAGCCCAGGGCTGGAGAACGCCCCCCCGCCCCCCTCCATCCACGAGGCTCACTCCGTGGCTGTCAGCAGGAGGCTTCCGTCCCTCACCTGGGGGCTGCTCCCTGGGGCTGCCAGAGGGTCCTCACTGCAGAGCAGCTGGCTCCCCTGCAAGGAGGGGTGCATCCAGAGAGGGAAGAGGAGAGGAGAGCACGGTGCCTCGTAGAGCCTAATGTCGGGCGTTACACTCCGCGGCTTCTTCCCGATTTTATCTGTTGGAACCACTTTGCTAAGTCCGGCCCACGCTGAAGGGGAGAGGACCAAAGAATTTGTGGACATAGTTTGAAACGGCCACGGTATCTACTGTTCCCGTTGACGGGCGGGGAAAACTGAGGCCCCGTGAAGCCAAGTGGTTTCCCAAAACTTGTATTTCCAGTAAAAGGAGACCGCAGAGCACAGGGGCGAGGAGGCCCAGCCTCTGGGTGGGTCAGTCCCCAGAGCTCCGAGGAAGGGACTCTAGGGTGAGCGAGGCTGTGATTTTTTTTTTTCCCCTTCCCCCACCAAGGACCTGGAGGAGCAGCTGGAGGAGGAGGAAGCTGCGAGGCAGAAGTTACAGCTCGAGAAGGTCACGGCCGAGGCCAAGATCAAGAAACTGGAGGACGATATTCTGGTCATGGATGATCAGAACAACAAGCTGTCCAAAGTGAGTGGGGCCAGCGTCTCCGCGGGCCGAGGGCTCCGGATACTTGCCCCTTCGGGCCAAATACAAGACGCCGGAGGCCACGCAGAGGGCTCTGGCTTTGGCAGCGGGAGGCGGCCTCCTGACTGCCATCCAGATACCGGCGGGCCATGGACGGGGTCCCCGGTGGTCCCACCAGCACCGGGTCTCAGAAACTCCATGCCAGTGGAGCCCCCCTGGGTATGCAAAGGCAGCCACGTGTGCCTGACTCTTGGGGGCCTCTCCCTCATTCTCATGGACTGCTTCCAGTCCGTAATAGGGTGACCGGCTGTCCTGCTTTGTCTGGGACTGAGGGCTTTCTGGGATGGGGACTTGCAGTGCCCAAAAGTCCCCATGTAAACTGCAGTGTGCAGGCCCCCCCTAGGCAATAACCACTCCACAGCCCCACCGAGTTTGGGCTCCCTTTAGTTCTTTGAGCTAGATGTCAGCTGGCCACCTGCCATGAGCCAGGCCCTGTTTTGGGCGCAGGGCCTATATGGTGAAGGAGGGCGCTGCCCTGGCAGGGCTCATACTCTAGTGAGGCAGAAAATAGATAATCATACACCTAACCATTACTGACCATCACAGTCAGGCTTCTGAAGGAGGTTCATCATATTGTAAAAATACAGCACTGAGGGATGGAAACCAGGCATTCAGGGAAGGCTTCCTGGAGGAAGCGGCATCAAAGTGGGAACCTGACAAATGAAGAGAGGCTGGAAGGGGAGTGGAGGAACAGCTCAACAGATAGTCCTATCTGTGCATAGTCCCTGTGGCAGAGAACAGCTGACATGTGCTCATAAGGGAAGAGGGCACGCCTGCCCGGAACATGAAGTAGGAGGGGCAGAGGTCCCACGAGATGAGAAGTGACTGGGTTATAGGGAATTACTGTTAAGGAACTTCTCTTTATCATTTTAAACCTCGACGTGGCACTTGGTATTCATGGGGGTTCCCTGCCAACTGTTGATCTGGAAATTATTAAAAGTGAAAGGCCCGTCTTGCAGAAGAGAAACAAAAAAAGCCACCGATATTTCTCTTTCTTTTCCCAAAAAGGAGCGAAAACTCCTCGAAGAGAGGATTAGTGACTTAACCACAAATCTTGCAGAAGAGGAGGAAAAGGCCAAGAACCTTACCAAGCTAAAAAACAAGCACGAATCTATGATTTCAGAACTGGAAGGTAACCCAGCCACCCCCAACAGGGTTTCAAATGGACGTGGTAAAGCTGGGAAGATCAGAGAGCAGATCTGAGTGTGGCACGTTGTTTCAGGAGAGGTACAACCCTCCCCAGGCTCCCGCGGCCAATACGCCAGTAATCGTCAAGGCGCTTTTCATCAGCACTGACTTTCTTGCTACGAGATAGCAGTCTGGGCCGTGACAGTTACCTGTAGGGCCGGGTGCATGCGTGCGTGTGTGTGTGTGTGTGTGTGTGTGTGTGTGTGCGCGTGCGAACTGCCCGAGCAGAAAGGCTTGTCCTCCGGGCGCCTTTCTGGTAGCTGCCGCCTCCTGAGGGGGCCCCTGGCTTTGTCACAGTGCGGCTGAAGAAGGAGGAGAAGAGCCGGCAGGAGCTGGAGAAGCTGAAGAGGAAGCTCGAGGGCGAGGCCAGTGACTTCCACGAGCAGATAGCGGACCTGCAGGCACAGATCGCGGAGCTCAAGATGCAGCTGGCCAAGAAGGAGGAGGAGCTGCAGGCCGCCCTGAGCAGGTAGCCTGGCCTGCGGGGGGTGCATCCTGACGTCCTGTGTTCATGTGTCCCGGGGGGCCACAGTGGGCCCCGTCTTCCTCCTCCTCCAGGGAGGCCTCCGTCCTCCCGGGTGCCTCCCCTGCCCTGCTTGTACTTCCACAACGGTGCCACTGACTTTCTTCTGTCCCCGCCAAGCCCATCCTGTCTCTGTGTGTCCCCTCCTCCTGCCGCGTCTGCCCCTCAGACCTCCAGGCCTCCGTCATCTCTAGTTGCCCATGGAGTCCATTCCACCGGCATGTCCGAGGCCGGGATGAGCCTCCTGCCCCTCCCTCGTAGGGCGCTTGCCGTGAACGCCCGTCTCCCCCGACTTTTGCCCACCGCTCTCCTCCCGCCCCCGGGCTGCAGCAGCCCCCAGATCCCGCCAGTCCTTTGGAAGGGGTGGCGACCCCATTCCCTGTTTGCCCTTCTCCCAGCTCCTGGCTGGGTTCATGCCTCATACTGGGAATCTTGCAGCCCCAGCTAAGGGTTGGTTTCCTGTTCGCTGCGTGCCGGGCTCTTTCCAGACGGTATGTTCTTTCACACCTGGCCGGTACGCTGCTGTGATCTCCACGTCACTGAGCAGGAAGCCGTGCTTGGGGACGTGAAGGAACGCGTGATTGTCACACAGTCTTGTGGAGGCGGGGCTGGGGTGAAAGCCCCAGAACTTTCTCACTGATCCCCTGGCCAGGTCTATCTCTTCCAGCGTGGGCTGCGGGGGGCGCGAGGGCGATGAACCGCAAACATCACCTGGGGCGTAGACCCGTGCTGGCTTGTGCAGGGAAGGCCAGCTTCCTTAGCCTGGTGCTCAGAGGCCCCCTCCCCGTCCCCCCACCGCCACGTACAGCCGGACCCAGCCGACCATCTAGCTTTCTCTCTTAACTGCTCCCCATTCCCAAGCTCACTACCATCTCACCTCCCCCCTGCCCTTTGCAATCTTGCCTCTGTGCCCTCTCTTCACGCTTTTCCCTTTCCATCCACCACGGCAAAACAAGAGCTCGGCTCCACCGTGCGTCAGGAGGGAGCTGCCTTCCATGAAAGTCCTCATGTGCTCCCGGCCATTTGGACGAGACTTCTCCCGTCCCACCTTGACCCACGGTTGCTGCCTCCCCCACACTGGGGGCCCTGGTTTAAATACCTCCCCGAGCAATACCTGGTCACGTGCTTCGCATGGAGCAGGCACTCAGCCACTGTTAGAGCAAAGAGGAGAAAGGAAAGCGAGTAGTTGCTAGGGAGAAATAATTGTCCGATGTTTACAAAGCATCTGTTAAGCACCTGCTGTGTACTAGGTGCCTTGCTAGTCTGGGGCCATGCTCTGCACACACACACACCACTGTTTGTGGACCTCAGACGAGTCCTAATGTGCACGCAGTCCAACCTAGCAGGAAGGGGTCCACCGTGTCTCGGGGACATGGGGGGGAACATGCTTTTGATATCCAAGGAACAGAGTTATCTGGTCCCTGGAAACAATTTTTGGCCACGCCGTGAGATCTCGGGGGCCAGAGACCCCAGGGCCTTCACCATGCTGGTCTGTCGCTGGCAGGCTGGACGATGAAATCGCTCAGAAGAACAACGCTCTCAAGAAGATCCGGGAGCTGGAGAGTCACATCTCAGACCTGCAGGAGGACTTGGACTCAGAACGGGCTGCGAGAAACAAGGCCGAGAAGCAGAAGCGGGACCTGGGGGAGGAGCTGGAGGCGCTCAAGACGGAGCTGGAGGACACGCTGGACAGCACGGCCACCCAGCAGGAGCTCAGGTGGGAGACCGGCCGCAGAGCCGCCCCCGCCCCGCTGCGTGCATCCGGTGGATGGTGGAACAGGGGCAAACCCAGAGCGGATCCTGAATGACAGGGTTCCTTGGGCCCTACGGTTACCGCCTCGGGTTTTTTGTTTATTTATTTTAAGAGAGAGTGCGAGAGCAGGGGAGGGGCGCAGAGAGAGATAGAGAGAGAGAGAGAGAGGGAATCCCAAGCAGGCTCTGCACCATGAGTGTGGAGCTCGATGCAGGTCTCGTACTCACGAGCTGGGAGATCATGACCTGAGCCAAAATCAAGAGTCCGAAGCTCAACCAACTGAGCCACCCAGGCACCCCTGTGATACATTTTTAAAATAACATTTGTTGGATTTGTCCTTAAGATTTGGTACGGGCTAACAGACACCAGCAACAACAACAAAAACACTCCAAAACAAAGAAACCAAAAAACCCAGAACAGAAACAGATGACTTGTTGGATAATGAATGCTGAGTTCAATGAAAGTAGGTCACTTATTCATTCAACAAACATGCACATGGATTTTGAGTGCATCCTTTATCAGGTGCTGTGCTAACTCTGAGGTTGATGTCCCGCACTTCAGGTTTTGTGCCACACCTGTCACCTGGGCCTAGAAGCCAGCAGTTTTCTGCCCCCTTCCCACCTGGCCAATGACACAGAAAAGCCCTTGGTGCAGTCTTCAAATGCACGAGCTCAAAGCCAGATCATTTGGGTTCAGATTTTGGCTCTATGACACAGTGGATGTACCAACACGGGCTAAGAATCTCTTGGCCTTAGATTTTTCCTCTGTAAACTGGAAAAATTAATGTATCTCCCTCTAAGGGTCACTCTGAAGATTATACGAGATGATGTCTATAAAGAACTTAGGTCAGGGCACCCAGGTGGCTCAGTCGGTTGAGCGTCCAACTTCCACTCAGGTCATGATCTTGCCGTTTGTGAGTTCCAGCCCCGTGTTGGGCTCTGTGCTGACAGCTTGGAGCCTGGAGCCTGCTTCGGATTCTCTGTCTCCCTCTCTCTCTGTCCCCTGCCCCCTTGTGCTTCCTGTCTCTCTCAAAAATAAATAAACATTAAAAAAAAAAAAAAGAAGTTAGGTCAAGGCCTGGCATATAATAAGTAAGCTTAATAAGTAAGAGCTAACATTATTTGAGGAACATTTTGTAATTCAGATGTTCTTTCAACAC